GCGGCATGTTTTAATTTCATCACTTACAGTTCAAATTTGTTTAGAGAAATCGTTAAAAAAATAATGTTAATTTTTGCTTATTGTTGGCATTTTCTTTGACTAACTACTTAGTACTTAGGGCTCTACTACACATGGGTTTCAGCACGTGATTTTAGTTTTCCATTTCTGCAAAAATGCGCCTAGAGCACACACTATGAATTCCGCAAGCTGCATTTTTTACGACGAATGCTAAGCGAGAAACACATTTCTTTTTCCTCCCTACTTTCGTAAACAAGAGATAAGGGGTAAGCATGGTCTGACATAAGCATAATAAAAGTTAATTTGAGGGCTAAACTAAATTTGGGGGCGCTGGGCAGATCTTTGCACCCCGGCGGCACATATGCTAAAGATGGCCCTGAACACAGTCAATATTTATTCTCCTGTGTATACCACTTTGAGCTCCTAGGAGAAAATAAGCAAGCTGTATGAAGGGCGCCCAGTGTACAACTAGTGGGCGTATCTGCTTGGAGGTGTGTGAGAGGCAGATGCAACTCCAGTGCTCTTCTCGTGTAATTGTGAATACATGAAGGGGGGCCCTCTTAGGATACGTAAGATAGTTTTACTGTTGGGTGGGGTGGGGAAGAATACTGGGAGAGATAGAATATGGAAATATGCCCTACCCAGAAAATTCTGGGGCAACCAAAAATAATGACTGGAAAATAAAAACCCACCATACAGCTGTACATATTCCTGTCGGAAACTGTACAAGAAAGAGAACATTTCTTTATTTAGCAAACAGCAGCAGAACTGCTGCAGCAACAGGATGGCGTGATTCACCACTCAAAGGATGCAATTGCCCGAGTGAACATGCCAGAAATTTGGAAAGGAAAATGAAGTGTAACAACCTTGAAAATACAGCAAATAAAAGACAATTCATGGTTGATATTCATCCCTGCTGGCACTTAATCAATAGAATCCATAGCCTTATTAATACAACCAGTGCCAAGCATCTGCTGATAGAACACATTCACTGACTGAACACATAATGGCTATATTCATTTTTATTTAATTATTTCCTGCCAATATTGTACCACCTGTTGTTCTCCTTACTGAGAATAGGGAATAACAACACACACACAAACACAAAATCTGCTTGGAGGAATGCATTCGCTTATGACGACGTTTTAACTGGATTGGGGAAGGGGCAGGAACCAACTGGCTTGTACTCAGTAGGTCCCATCTTAGGGCTGGTTCATGCACAAATGTTCCTCAGGCATTTTGGAATTCAGGGTCAAATATTAACATGTATTCATCACCTCTCCCCTATTATGAGATCCAGTCTTGCTTATTGAGCCACAGCTATGTCGCTGCTGCTCTCTGCCTGAGAGATACAGTACTCTGTTTCCACCACCACCCTGTTGCTTCCACCTCACTGATTCTTTCTGCTCAGAAAGCATACGCGCTGAGGTGGTTTGGAGAAAGGAAAGCTCTTCCCATCGACTCCTGCCCTAGGCTTAGCAGTAAGTCTGAGCTGGCTACAAATACAACCGTTTCCTAAAGTGCCTATAAAGTTTTATGATAGGTTTAGCGAGTTAATGCCATAAATCGCCACGCTGCATGATTCAGAATAATTAATTTAATAAGTGTGTCATATGAGGAAAGTAAATAAAGGGGGAGAAGTGAATGATCAGTGAAGCATATAGAATTGAAAGGAAAAAACAAAATCACCAGCCAGCACAGAATATTAAAAGCTTGATGGATTTTTTTCCTTCTTCCTACCCTGCCCCAAATCTTCCTTGAGCTACTTCTTTTTTATTTTATTTTTTTTAACTTTTATTTTGCTTTAAACAAGTACATATAAATATAGACAACCAAAATTACAAAGGAAAATTCCTTAATAGTAATGAAAAAAACTACAAAGAACTACAAAAAATATCAAAATACATGACACAGAACATAAGCAACTATGGGAAATATAAAAGAAAAGAAAAAAGAAAAATAGAAAAAAAAGAAAAGGAAAAAGGAAGATGAGCCAAAGCAGGAAAGCTCATCTATTGTACACTTCCATCAAACTCACAACAGATCATTATTCTTATCAATTCTCTCTATCTGCATTCCAAAGGAATCCCTCATCTTGGTATCAGGGAGCATTTCTCTATGCGGTATCATTCTAAACATAGCCAGATCTTTCTTGCTGAGCCCTTGTCCCCTAAATAATTATTTAAACATTCCCATTCTTCTTTCACCAATTTTTTAGGTTTATCTCTTATTGCATCTGTCAGCTTTGCGAGCTCCAAGTACTCGCACAATGTGACTACCCATTCCTCTTTAGTGGGTGTATTTTTATCTTTCCAGTGTTTTGCCACTATAACCCTTGCTGCTGACGTTGCATGCATAAATAGCCTAGTTTTGTTTTCGGGAATATTATCTGAAACCATTCCTAGTAAAAATTCTTCCAGTTTCTTGCTAAATGTTGTTTTTATCAATCTCTTTATCTCTTCATAAATCATGTTCCAAAATCTTTGTATCTCTAGACAGGACCACCACATATGGTAGTATGTTCCTATCTGTTCCTTACATCGCCAGCACTTGTTATTGTTTGATTTATTTATTTTTGCAAGTTTTACAGGGGTCAGGTACCACCTATAGTACATTTTCACAAGATTTTCCCTTATAAAGAAACAAGCCGTGAATTTTATATTTTTAATCCATAATTCATTCCAAATATCGGGTTTGATCGTATGTCCCAGGTCCCTCTCCCATTTTACTGTAATTTATTTGATATTTTCCTCCTTTCTTTGCCAATTCAAAAGTAGTTTGTACATTTTTGAAAGTGTCTTTGGATTATTTTATAAAATATCCTTCTCCAGATAGGATATTTTTTTGTCAAATCCTTTGGTTCTTTTACCTTTTTCAAGGGCGGCTTTTAGTTGATAGTACTCCAGCCAGGTCATTCCCTTCTGTTTCAATTCGCTTAGGTCCTTTATTTTCGGATCACTACTTGTTTCCTCTACTAAATCCTTATATGTCAGCCAATCACTGTTCATATTTATCCTGTGAACTGACATAGATTCCATTGGTGACAGCCACCATGGTGTTTTGGTTACTACTGATTTTTTACTCCTCTCCCATACTTAATATAATGCCCTTCTCACAATATGATTTAAAAATCCTTTGTGGGATTTAACCTTGTCATAGCCTATGTAGTCATGCCACCTGTACACAATATCCCATCCCTCCAGATCTAGGACTTCCGTGTTTTTAATTAATATCCAGTCCCTAATCCATGTCCAGCTCGCTGACTCAAAGTACAGTTTAAGGTCAGGGACCGCAAAGCCTCCTTTTCCCTTCAACTCTGTTAGTAGCTTAAATTTTATGCGTGGTTTTTTCCCTTGCCAAATAAACTTGGCAAGGTCTTTCTGCCATTCCTTAAAACACTTTACGCCTCTAATTATAGGTATTGTTTGGAACATTTTAAATGTGTGGGGGTTTTTTTTTGGGGGGGAGTGTTATTTGCTTGTTTTTGTTTTTAAGTATTCTGTGTTTTTATATAGTGATATTATCTTGTGAACTTCTCTAAGACCTGTGGGTGTGGAGCATTATATAAATTTAATAAGTACTACTACTACTGCTACTACCACTCTAGCAATAAGAACTTCACTATTTAGAAGCATTTGTGTTCAAAGCATACAGGGGACCTTTGTATTCAAAATCCAAAGAGTGCTATTAACTGTAAATTACAGGATCACTCATACAAGAACCATTTTCATAAACTTTTTTTTAGTGGAAATGTGAAAGAACTCTTCCAAATCATGATTATAAAAGTTTGTGGTGGAGCAATGAAGGGATCAGGGGAAAAACGTGTTTTGGAGGTTGATTCCACCATGTGATCTAACAGTCAGTGCTAATCATGAGCATCTTGTTGAATATTTCAATTACAACAATCCAACAATCAATTCTACAAGACATAAGACATAAGATATGGGTAGGGCTAGTTTTGTACAGAAGCAGCATGAGTCAGTCACTTCAGTCACCAGATTTCAGACAGACACTGTTTTCCAGCCTTTAGCTGTGTGTTCATTTAAAAACAACAAGTGACTCCACAGCAGGGATATGGGGCCACCATTTTGACTTTTCCTTCAGCTGTGGAAATGTGAAAGGCAAGCATTGCCCATGGGCAACTGTGACATTCCTTTGAAGCTGTCCCTATCTTTAAAATAAAAATGTTGCCTAATGTATATGCAGAAACAAGGCATACAATATTCTACGCCAGATGAAAATATATAATTGGTTACTAATGCTCTATTTTCACCTGATAACTGCAATAGAAAGGGATCTGGATTATCTGAATAATTATATATAGAAATTGCTGGAAAATATAACATCACAAAAGGGGAAGTCTGATCTGTGGGTTAAATAGCCCCTTGCAGGAGACTTGGTACTGAATATAGATTGGATGTTTTGTTGTTAGCCAATATCTTGCATACAACTCATCCTCTCTGCAGGTCGAGAGCCCATTCACAAATTTCTTCTCTAGAAGCCCCAAACTTCCTGAAGTCAACCCTGCATATAATACTGAGTATCACTAATTAAACTGTACTGATCATTGGAAATACTTTTTCTATTGAAACAGGATGTGTTATTATCAAAATTCCTCTCTTACTTTCAAACATAACGCAAACTTTAATCACAAGCGGGAATTATTATTATTATTATTATTAAAAACAGCTTCTACCTGCAAAATGTATATAGTTTTCCTTGTCCTCACACTTCAACATTAAACATATCCTCCATGTTTCGGGAGAACTTTCTTAGTGAAGATCATTTTTTATCATTTTATAACTCTTAGCTGCCCATTACAAGTTTCTCTGATAATCACAAAAAAGAAGACCTGACCTCTTGTGGTTTCCGCTCATTTATGATCAAAAATAATATTTTAAATATTTTCCCATTTCTCCCCCTCCTGGGATGCAGTGGTGATTTGCACTGCTATTATTGATGCCAAGTATATTAACACTTACCGGCAGTGTTTGTGGGAGCCTGTCAGGGTTTCAATGACAAAACATTCCCCATCGTTGAGACAGTATGCAAGATCCTTATCTTTGCATGGCTTAAAGTGCTCAGATTGTTCAGTGGAGTATGTTGTGGTATCTGGAGAGAAAGAACAATGGAGAAAAAATGCTGTCAGTATAGGAAAACATATTAGAGATATATGCCCTTGGCCAGGTAGCCAACATTTGGTTTCAAAAAACAAGAACAGGAATGGTGGAGCTAGGGCAGGGGTCTGCAACCTTTAAGACAAAAAGAGCCACTTGGACTGAAGAAAAAAAACCTGGGAGCCGCAAAACCATTGCGACATTTAAAACAGTGGGGAGTGTTGGGGCACACAATGCGCCTGCTCCCCTCGCTAGTATCCGCCCCGGAGCCGCGGCAAAGGTGTAAAAGAGCCACATGCGGCTCCGGAGCCGTGGGTTGCTGACCCCTGAGCTAGGGGATAACCCGGACTGGAGATCAGTGATGAAAACATAAGAAGAGTCTGCAGGATCAGGCCAATGGCCAACATCCTGTCTAGAAAAAGTTAAACTGTAAGACCAGGAGTACTTTCAGAACGGCATCTAGCAGATAAAAAGGTAAGATCCATCAGAATACAGGGTCTACTGTACTGTAGTTCAGAGACAGAGTGCATAGTTTGCATGCAGAAGATCCCAGGTCCCTGGAACCCCCAGGCAGGGCTAGGAAAAACTATTGGCTGAAATACTGCAGAGTCACTGCCAGTTAGTGTAAAGAATGCACACTCTCCAACATTTCTCCAATGAAAATAGTGGTGCCCTATTCCAGAGTAATAACAATCACCCTGAGACCTCTGGGTATAGGACAGTATACAAATTTTAACAACAACAATTTAATTATTTATATCCCGTCCATCTGACTGGATTGCCCCAACCACCTTCCAACATATATAAAACATAATAAAGCATTAAACGTTTAAAAACTTCCCTATACAGCAGGGGTCAGCAAACTTTTTCAGCACGGGGTCAGTCCCCTGTCCATCAGACCTTGTGGGGTGCCAGACTATATTTTGAAGGAAAAAAATGAACGAATTTCTATGCCCCACAAATAACCCAGAGATGCATTTTAAATAAAAGCATACATTCTAGTCATGTAAAAACACGCTGATTCCCAGACTGTCCGCGGGTCGGATTTAGAAGGCGATTGGGCCGGATCCGGCCCCCGGGCCTTAGTTTGCTTACCCATGCTATATAGGGCTGCCTTCAGGTGTCTTCTAAATGTTTAGTTACTTTTCTCCTTGGCTCGGGGGTCACATAACTCCATAGTCTCCAACATTTCTCAAATGAAAAGAGGGACTACCCTAAGGAAAAACGGGACATTCTGGGATCAAATCATAAACCAGGACAGCTTCTGTAAATATGGGACTGTCCCTTGGAAAATAGGGACACTTGGAGGGTCTGGAGAAGCTGAGATCAGTAAAATATTGACTAGAAATACTTTTCAATTCAATCCCTTTAGGGCTGGAAACACCCCAGGGTTATGCCACATATTCTACAAACAACTATGACCACTCAGTAGCGATACCAACAGAGATCTCAGTAAAAACTGAAAGATGCAGACACTGGACTTCTCATCAGAGACAATGTAGTAACCCTACTAACCCTAGTCAGTATTATCCCAATACTGGAGTCAGACAGGTTGCAAGGTGAGAGAACCTTTAGTTATCACCACAATCATTTCCCTTCATAACTTTACTCAACCTTTCAAATTGTGATAACTTGCCAAGTAGAGCATATCTAGAAGAGGGTAACTGAAATGTCATGCAACAGGAGAGAAACCAGGGCCCTTTTTCAGCTGAAATTCACCAGAACTGAGTTCCGGCACCTCTCAGGTGGACACCATTGCCATTATAAGAGAACAAGTTCATGGTGAGTTCTGACACCTCTTTTTCTAGAAAAATAGCACTGGGCGGGATTTCCGACTATCAAACAGCAAAGACCAGGTAAAAAACAGATGGCTACTTAATGTGGAAGAGACATTTTTAAAAAAGCTCTCTCCAGAGTTTGCTTTATGTTGCATTCATTGTAGTTACAAGATGAAAAGGTTTTCCACACAATATGATTTGTTTGTTTCTCCCAAGACCACACATATTTTTGTTACAACATCGTTTTGAAAGGGGACACTTGGAACATGGTGCTCTAAAGAGAACCGGAGCAAGCACATTTTTAACTATGAAAGGAAAACCACTGCAGGGATTACCGAAAACACAGGTTTCAGTTTTACAAAACTGATCTCCTTCAAGACGATTATTGCAAAACCTTGTCCTCTAAAATGTGAACATGACACAAGTCACTCTGTATGCTGGGTCCTACAAAAGAAAACATTCAAAATATATGGCATGGTTCTCTTGTATTTCTTAACTGATGACTCTTCAGTGCTCAAATTACAGCCACATATCAGCTCTATGGGAGCTAAATACCCCTTTCAAGAAATCAAATGTTGCAAGTGAACATTCAGAATCGGCCAGGGATCCAGCCCCAGAAAATCTAGCACAGAGAAAACTAGTACAGTGGTACCTTGGGATGCGAACGGGATCTGTCGCACGGGTCACGTTTCGCCGCTTCCATGCATGCGTGTGACGTCATTTTGACCATCTGTGCATGTGTGAGCGGTGAAACCCAGAAGTAACACACTCTATTACTTCCGGGTCACCGCGGAGTACAAGCCGAAAATACTTATCCTGAAGCATATTTATCCCGAGGTATGACTGTATGTAAGAGGGGAGGCTACAACAGAACATTTCCTCTGACATGTAGTAGTTGTCAGGGATGCCAACAGAATTTCCTGGGCCTAGTACACTGCAGGTGGATTGGGCTCCTTCATTCATTGCCAGCCACCAGAATCTATTGACAAGATCTGCTGCTTATGTGCATATATTAGCATAGCATAACCTACCTCAGAAGGCTGTTGTAAATATAAAAGACACAGAAAAGGAAAACATATACAAGCTTAAGCTCCCGAGTAGAAAAGCAAGATACAAGTAGAGATCATATAGTTAAACAATGAAATACACTCCCATTGAAGCCTCTACTTTGGGCCATGCCCCTATGGAGGAGTTGTGACCACTCTTCATTATGCTCAAGGCTACATTCAACTTCCTTCTCACGTTGGCATTTACCTCTCCTGGAAAAATCTAGAAGCAATTCTTCCCTACATTGCCTATAGTCCCTAAATACTCAGGTGCTCCATGAAACTAAAGCTAGGCTGCGACCAGGCAGGAATGGAACCAGGGAGCATTTCAAAACTGTTGGATGGAAATGGTGAAAGGGGGAACACATAGGTTTAGTGATACCACAGCAAGAGGATGTATACCCTGAACATCTTAGCTAAAGTCACCAATTTTCATCTCCTGGGTGCACTGAAATTTCAGGAAGGGTCATTTGCAAACAATGTTCTCATTATTTCCACAGTTGCCACAGCCTAAAACCTTAATTGCACATGCTTGAACAACAGCTACTCTGGCTCACCATCCTCGATTAAGTCAATGCCATTCTGTACGTCAAGATAACCTTTAATTTTCCATTGCCCATTTACCATGAATTCCTTCGCCAAGCTAAATAGTAAGAAGTTACATTCTATTTTTTAATCAGCACTTTTAAACTGCTGCATGCTCAACATGCAATACAATGACAATCCAATTCCATTCAATTAGATTTCATCTGACAGCCACTCTCTGGTGGATATAACACCATATTACGGGGGTGGGGTGAATCCTACTTCTGGAAATGTGAAATTATAGTAATTTCAGGAGCATCATTCTCTTTATAGAAGGGCAGCGAGTGCCCAGTGCCCTGGTAGTCATTCAACTGTAATACAGTGCTTTCATTTCTGCATTACAAAAATAAGCTTGACAACTGCTGGAGATTCATGCAAAAGATGGAACATTTCCAAAAAAGGCGGTGGGGGTGGGGAGAAAACCAGAAACCGCCAGCACAATTTTGTGGAATATATTTCATAAAATGGAAAATGGGCAAAATTTTAGGTATACTGGAAACTGACTTTTAGAAGAGCTTGTTCCTTATTTTCCTTAGAGAGCTTTGAAAGTAGTTTCTGTTGTGGCTGCAGATGGACAAGGAACTTATAAAAGGGCTGAGAGATATTTTATTTTATTTTATTTTATCCGTCCATTATTGACTCTGGTCAAAACAAGTATTGTAGGGTTTCGTGGCAATATCCCGGAAGAAAAGGGGAGGGGATTATTTGGTGCGCTTTGGAGGGTTGTACTGTAGGGTTAAAAATTAACTATGTGATATCTGAATCCCTTTATGAAAATATTGCCCCAAAGGGCATATGCAGATCAAATGTGCAATACGGATGACACCTAAACTTTAAATCAATTAGCTACATGGAGGTACAGATTCCAAAAGAACCTAAATATTTTGTATGCCTTATGAAACCTTATTTAATATATGCCCACTGAAATAATTAGTAAAGAACTGAGAAGCTGGACAATCTTAATTGATGTCCTTCTTAGGTGGAGTAGTGGAGGGGGTGAACATCAGTCCTCCCCCAGCTGTTATTTATGTTTAAGGTGCTTCTGATTTCAATTCCAGAAAAAGTGCATGGGAAATGGCAAACTTTCAGGAATAACTTTAGTTTTCAGAATATTTTCAGAATGGACGGCTTGCTTGTAATTTACTATAGAAAAGGACAATCCATGGGGGGCGGGGAGACCACATCTGAAAATAAATATATTTTGAAGATTTGCAGTTGCACCAATTAAATTATATAATACTAAAGAGAAGCCTTGGATGAAGGTGAACTGACAGGATCAAATAATTTTTCCGTTGTAGGCACAACCTCAAATCCATATGACTGCAAAACTCTGCAATATGTTTTGGTGCATAAAAAGCACGGTAATCTAAATTAATCCCAATTAGATCTCCACAATACCCAGATCTGCCCTTCTACAGCATGGACAAAGAGGCACAATTTAGGAACTGGGAAGCGGCTGTTCCAGCTTTGGAACATCTGTATCACCACATGTCCATTCATTGAAGTACAGCTGATAGATGAGCATTCATGACAGAGCAAGAAGCTGCCTTATCCTCAGACAGAACAGTGTGCCACATACTTCACCC